GGTTGACAAGACTTCGTGTTCGGCCTGTGTGTTTCTCATGCTTGGCTATGCCGACTTTTACTCCCTTTACACACTTCAAAAATCCTCAGAATGTCCCGTCTTTCATTGACAATGTCTGCGTAATCCATGGGCCGGCCATCTTCAGTTAATGCGGTACCTGCCAGTCTATCAGCTCTTTCATTGCCAACAATACCTGCATTACCTGAAACAGATATGGAGGTTGAAGGTAGTTGCATAAACAGGAGAGTTTTGCAATGACCCAATCCACTGTCTGCGTAACCAGTCTGCCTCGACCCACCGGATCATGCTCAAAGAATCACTCAGCACACACATCCTATGATTCTAGCCACAGGAAACCCTGTGTCACCGCCATCACCTCCATCGTCATGTTGCTAGTTGTCATGGAGAAGGCACCGCTGGCTTCTTGAACTGTTCTGCCTGTAGAGAGAGCTTTAAATGTCCATGCACTCTTATTTCCTTGTATAACTGACCCGTCTGATAAAGATCAGCACATTTGTCCCATCTGACTTGTCACTGATAAGCGGGCATACCTCGGCGTTGACAGCAACGGGATTCTGCTCCCGACAACTTCTGTCAAGCGTCATGACACAGGAAAATGTGAGATTGGGCGCTTGAGACGCTGGTATCCATTCCTCACCTGGATGGATATCTGTAAGGCTGGAAACCTGCATGATGTCATTCTTTGCCCTACCCAGCCATGATTTACCACTTTTAAGTCTATTGCCCCCTTTTTTTAAGGGAAATGGGTGATGTGATCAACGGGTAATTTAGTCAACACCATGCCAACCGCCTTTACTTCTCAGTTAGTTAATTAGATAATTTTTGGTTGTCAACCAGGAAACGATGGTCATAAATTTTTTAAAAAGTATTTCCACTTCGTTGCACACTTTTTAAGGCTTGTTGTTAAGATGGCTGCACATTATTGGTGACTTAGTAAAGAACAAGATAGATATGTTGCTTGTATGTGTGTTTTCTGCTGAGTAGAATTGCTCCTACTGTCCACCCCATGCGCTTCTACAAGGCTGGGCAAATTTCTAGAGGTAAAGTCAACAAAGTTGCATACGCTCCATCAATACTCGATTGTGCGCGGGACTAGTTACTGGCTGTCGGCCTGCCTGGTTTCAAAAAGTACCCAGAGTCAATCCAGAAGACCGGCCAGAGACCAGACATAGTTTTGCACTCTGCGGAAAAACGCCAGCTGGTCCTGATTGAACTGGCCGTGCTGTACCAGTCACCAGCTCGTCATCCATATGTAGTCAACACCATGCCACCTGCCTTTACTTCCCATTTAATACTTAGGCTGAGTCAACCAGGGAACGATGGTCATTTTTTTAAAAAATACCATCTGGTACTGATAGAGCTGGCCGTGCCGTACCAGTCACCAGCTCGTTGCCGGTCTGAGGAGAGACAAAGCTGAGGAGAGACGAACTGTAAACTTGTCACTTTGGACGTTAAGGTAGTGGACTAATCTAATTTGCCACCACAGTGACAATATAACATCAAATCTCACAGTACCTGTTGCAAAGTTACCATACCATCTTGTCCCTGTCCAAGAGTCTGATAACGTGCAGAAGGGGAAGATCGAGGCCAGGCGCCATGAACCAGGTCAGCAACCTTCTGAGATTGTCTAGGGAAGTAATGGGCAGAATCAGTCGACAAGGGATCGCTCTACTGATGATTGATGGACCCCTGCTGTGCATGCTTCTCTGTGGAATTCTTCCTATTATATTGCTCTGCAAGCTTGAAATCTGTTCATTCCTGTATGGGCTCCGAGGCCATATGGAGGGAAGGCACCCTCAAAATCATGTTTTAAAAGACTGAAGTGTGTTTTATTCGAAATTGAGTGCATTTGCATGACATTCGAGCAACCAACAGTCTGCATACACATAAGCCATAAATTTAAAGCTGAAGTTCTGGACAAAGACCAAAGTCTAGATGTGTAGAAACAACCAGAACTGGAAACACAATTTACAACTTATGAAGGCTAAGAAGAAGTGGAGGAAATCTATGACTGGATACAAGTACATTTTTTTGGGGTATGATGCTTGGAAAGCTGCTCATGTTTTTTTTTAAGTGAGGGGGAACTAGATAGATCAGTAAATAGATAGCCTGAAAAGTAAATGAAATTAAGAGTAGAATGCTACTTGTCTCTTTCTACTGTCTGTTTTTCTTGAAGAGTACTTTTGTCTTTCCTGTCCCTTTATCCACAAATGAAACAAATGTATCCAGCAATTTGGCACTAAATGCAGACTATACTTTATTTTCCGTTGTGTCTTTATATTTAGCCATGTTCTTTACATGCGTATATGTGGTTAATCTACTTATCACTGGTTAATCTACTTATTGCTAACTGATTCACGTAGTCTGTTTTAGTACTAATTTTATTTCATTATTTTGTTCTAGTTTTCCACGACCTGGAGGAAGATCTGATGACGTGTCTCATGGAAATGAAAGTATGTTGTCCATTCTACTTCTCTCTCATTTATTAATTTTGTTTGGAGGAAAATAAAACACAGTATAATTATTTTGTTCCTTGTATTTCACTCTCATTTACTTTATTCACAAAGCATGTAGATGCACCATATGTCAGCAGATACAAAATCATTTGAAAAACTGCTTCTTCAGCCAACGATATAATTTGTGTGTGGCTGAAATCAATAAAAAAAATTTCCCTTTAGTAATGTTAAGACTTTAATAGAAGCTGAACATGTATTATATTATTCTTTTGCAAATTGTGTTGTGACTTTAACTTCTTTTAACTTTAACTTATTTCAATCACAAGTAGTTGTTACTTTAACTTAAGTATTGTTACTTTAACTTAAGTAGTTGTTACTCTAACTTGTACTGTCCCAAAGATTATGTGCTCTGTAATAAAATCCCTGAGCTTAGATGAGTGGAAATAAAATCCTATATAGTGAAAAACATTAAAGTTATAATGAGAAATCAGTGGGCGAATGTAAAAGAAGACTGGGACAGACAAATGAAGAAACAAATAGAGTATGTGGTATAGTAATCAAACAGCATTTGGTGAGCTGCTTGCTACCGCAAGAGTTAATATGTAACATGCATTATTTATTCAGTACCAACGTTGGACTTGAATTTGCAGTTCTTTTATTTTTGTATATAAAAAAAGAAAAAAGTAGAATCACAGTTCTTTCTTCCTTATCTTGCATCATCTATTAGTTCTATAAACCTAGTTAGAAATATTAAAAAAGAAGTGTTAGGGAAATTGTTGAAAATACAAAGAAAGATTAGATATACAATACTGGGTATTCAGAATATCAATTGGCTCTCAAACACCATCATAGTGCAGAGGTTGTCATGTGTTTCTTATACTCCAGAAGATACTCTTGTCTGGAAAGACAAACAATATAAGGTAGAGCCCCTGGAAACATTGCAGAAGACATTCTGCTGGGTTTGCCAGCACTTTAACAGTTTCTGATTTTTGTTTTGTGTAAAAGTATTAGTTTTTTAAAATTTCATTTGGCCGTTCCTGCGTGTGAATTATTTAGAACCTGTCACTTTCTTCTTTCCTTGTAACATTAATTCAGTAGAGGAAGAAGCACCTGTTGTCTCTCTCTCTTGGCAGTCTAGAAACAAACTGATATTATTTTCATATTCTTTTTATTTGCTTTTTTGGCATGGCGGAGTTTGAAGTTGGAAATACTGAATGTGAATTTGCAGACTTAACACATCTTGTTTATGTTTTTTTGGTTTGTATTAATTCTTTAGCAGAGTTTCTTCTTTTGTGTGGATTATAAGTAGTTTACATTAGGGATTTATTTAGTGCCTGTTGTCACTACATGGTGAATATACATGTGATGGCAAGTGTGGCCGTGAAATCCCGGATTCTGATCGTGGAAGACTTTTTTTAACACCAAATAGTATTGTTAGTCTCACTCACCATGACCATGTCTAGTGATTCTTGTTCCTGTCCTCTAACTATTGGCAGCAACATTGTGTGTGCTGCCCCACTGGCGATCACCTATCAGTGGTGGCAGAGCAGAGTAGGTAAAGTAAATAAAGGACCTTTTTTTAAAAACACCAGTGGCACCTTTGGGCACATGGGGCTAGGCACACAATTTTTCTAGACCAGTCTGCATTCAGTGGGTGATGTCAGCATCACTTTAACTACCTTTTCTTTCCTGGAGCAAGAGTTTGATGCCTCTTCTAAACAGGTGTTGCGAGGGGTGAAGAAAGGAACCATTAGGGTTTACAGTTTTGAGTAGAGCCTACATGACCGAGTGTGCAGTTCACACTTATATATATGTTTGAGTTTTGAGCCAGAAAGTGTGCAGCCAGGGCTAAAATGTGACATAAATGCATGCTAGCAGAGCTTAGAGGAAACATATGTTAAAGGTGGTGCAGCTACTCTGCCTTTGGAGATGTCCTGCAGTGTAAATAAATTAACATGGAGTAAAAAACCGGAAGTTACAAACAATGTATGATGTATATTAACATAGATTAAACACAGAAAAGTCAATAACCTAGCCCCTTTCCATGCTCACTGCCAGTGTACTGTCATACGCAATTAAATAAATAGCTATAAATATTAGAATTATGCTACAATACAAATTTAGTAATTAATGTATGTTAAAGGAAGTATAGCACTAAGTTTAGAAGCCAAACAGTGGTGTAAATTAATTTGATTTAAAAAAAATAAATGTTTAGCTACCAGAAGTACAGTTTAGCTATTACTAATTATATATATATATTTTTTTTTATTTTTATTGCAGGAAATATTATAATAATGAAAACAATGTCTTTTAGTCTTTTTTTTTTTTTTTTTGAAACATGCTATCTTACCTCTTACTCACATGCTAGTAATGCATGCAGTCTTGATCCTGGCCTTCCTGTTTCTCCCTGCTTGCTGTCACCACGTCTCTGCCTCTGTGCCTTGTGAGCCCATTGTTTTAACTTTGCTTGTTTGATGCTGACGTTGCCATTATTTCTGCTTCCTTGTCACCTGTGAATGCCAGGGATATCAGACTATGCCGAGATTGTGGAAGATGAAGATGATTATAGCACACCCGATGGTAAGAGACTTTCAGCTTTCTGTTTTGTGGTGTTCTGTAATTATTATGGTTATCTGTATAGTGGCTAGTTCACCTTATACTTTGTTCAAATTCCTCTTTTCCCCCTCTGGGTTTCAAGGCAATATTTTAGAATTGGTGGGTAAGCGATGGGTTAGCTGTCTGGTGTGAGAAGCATGCTTACTCCAGGCCAACAAGACAAGACACTAGGGGTGGTTATCAATAAGCAAGTGTCAATAGCTAATAACCAGTGTCTCTTTTTGTCTGTAAGAGTTTGCAAAGCACTCCATGAGAGTCCTGAGGCCAGGGAGTTAAGACCTGTGTTGGACAGCTCTTGGAAAGTGTTAGGGAATAAGGGTCCAAAACACTTATTGAAGGTGGATCTCTACTGATGATCCGTAAACTCCTGTTGTGTTTGCTGCCACCATGGAGTACTTTCTTCCTTTCTTTTTTTTCTCCTCCTCTTTCTTTGCCTCCTCCTCCTTCTCCTCTGTGGTTGTCGTCATTGTCCTCCTTCTTCCCCTCCTCCTTCTTCCTTCTCCTTCTTCATTTCTACTTCTTTCTTCTTCTTTACTGCTGCTGCTTCCTCATCCTCCTTTTGATCAACTGCTCCACAATAAGGATATTGTAAAAGGAAACTCATTCAAGATTTGCTGAAATCACAAATTTTAAACCAGAAGGCATAGCATAGCTGCCAACCACAACACAGTGTGCCAGCCTTACTTTTAAAAGCAAAGGCAAGAGAGAAAACCCCTCTTGAAGTGGAATTTTATTCTTTCGTGACCACATGGTGAAAGGGTTGATTGTGCTGCATGGAGGAGTGAAAATCAGGAAAGGAACAGGAATAAATGAATAGAGAAGGGCTGGGTCTGAAGGCAGTGGTTTGTGGCTCTACAGAATTCATGGCTGACAAGGATTAGTTTAATTTTCATGCCAGGATATGTGTGGCTACAAGGAAATGAGCAAGCTGGTAGACTTGCAGGCAAGGCTACTGTGAAGGCCAGTCAAGCCATGGACCAGGCTGATATACTGTTTACTCTAAGAGAGTTGAGAGGTTTGCGTGAACCAGCCGATAAATGTGAATCTGCAACCATGGTCAGACTGCAAGGACAATATGTTAAGCGGTGTGTCGCCAAACAAGAACACTACCTGGGTAGCCAAAGAAGAAGAATAAATCAACACAGAACTGGTGTCGTTAGCCGCTACACGCTGCGGGATTTACTGAGGAAGGAATCCGAGTACTTATTGACTGAGTGGTTCGACGTGCAATGAGGATAATATGTCAACTAACTAACAGGGATAAAGGAAAACATGATTTTAGATAGGTTGAGAGCTAAGCATCTGAGATTAGCACATTAATTAAATACATATAATAGGTACAGGGGTCCTGAAATCCTATGCTTTAAATATGGAAGACTTCTTTAATACGAGCAGGTATTGCCAGTCAAATTCATCATAGCCACGGGCTACATTTCTCATGCCTTCCAGTAGCAAAATATAACACTGTTGTTTGGAAAGACAGAAAAGTGACAACAGCAATGAGAACATATTAGGTTTTAGAAAGCAATGGCAAACAACAGCTTAACATTGCCTATTAAATGAAACAATAGTCATCAAATGCTGAAGCTGATGTGTAAAAACCTAAGGAAGATGTGTAACTAACTTTACATCTTGTGGAGTCGCCTCAATGGTGAACATTAATGGGATAAGAGGTTAGCCTGTGCTGATTATGTTTGTCATTTGGGTATAACTGAACGGTAACATCTGTCTGTTTTACCACATTTTTGGGCAGTGTAAACAGTAGGGCCTTGAGCCTGATGATTTAGGTCCGCCTGGCTAGGCAGTCGCTGCGGACTGTGCAGGCTTTTTTTAAAAACTTCTGTTGTTGTTGTTGTTGCTTATTAGGATTAAAATACTGTTGATTTGATACAGGTTTATGTCTATTTTTTTAACAACTGAAGTAGAACATGAGATTTCTTGCAGGCCATTCATGCATGATGCCCTTGGTTCATGATTTTTGACTAATGGTAGTTTGTTTGAAATCCATTTTTGGTTTTCTTTCCTTGCAGCTTTTTTTTTTAATACTGACACAATGCTTTGTGTTTCTTGTCTGGTGTGATGCATTCTCAGCTGCTTGTGTGTTACAGCAGTTAAAAAGGTGGACTCTTTGGTTTTTACTGTATGTTTTTTATAATGAGACAAGAGAACAAAACCACATGCTGTACTTGCAGATACAAGTCATGTAGTTGTGTGTTGTCTTTAGGTAATCAAAGGACTGGTCCTTTATTTACATGTCACAGTTTTTTTGGGCACTTGCAATTGCTGTGTCAGTGCTTAGTTTTTGGTACTCTTGGTGTGTCAATTATTGTCAGAGATACAAGATTATTTTTTTTTTTTTCGGTTTGGACTGCACTTCTAAAGTTTTCTTAGTAACAGTCATTTCCAGCTTCATGGCCCCAAATACCTGAGAAAGGTTGTCCAAGTGACAAGAATGTGCAAAGTTTGCAATTAGACAGTATGTCAAGATCTTGAAACCCAGACCTTACAAACTTGAGTGTATCAGTCACAGTTACAATGGTTTGGATGTGTATACAGAAAGAATGGGAGAAAATCGACCATCATGTCAGGCTAAGAACTAGGGAACCAGACCTCCAGGGTGACCCAGGGTCTGCTGGGAAGACAACATTCGACACTTCCTGACTGAAGAGGACTGGAATGGAACAAAGCCAGACCAGGCAAGGAGAAGAAGCTGCAGATGGCAGACACACAAACAGCCCAATGCAAAGCCTTCCCAGAAGCCCCCTGTAAACACCACCAGAGGGTAGCAAAGACACCAAGCCAGTAACCATGGCACAAGAAACCATTCATAGCCAGTAAACCTGCTGCAACAACAGTAGTCCACAATTGTAACCAAAAGCTCCTTTGGAGCTGGCTTCACCAGAAGTTCTTCTGGAGCTGGTTGACTGACACTGAGTCGCCTAGAATTTGATCAACTGCTAGACCTGAATATTGAGATCCAGGCTGTGTTTGATTGACTTGAGCTGGTGGCAGACAGCTGTTACCAGTTCGATGGACTGGAGCTGGTGGCAGTTGTTACCAGTTAAATGGACTGGAGTTGGTTGCAGACAGATGTTACCAGTTCGATGGACTGGAACTGGTGGCAGACAGCTGTTACCAGTTTGATTGACTGGAACTGGTGGCAGACAGCTGTTACCAGTTTGATTGACTGGAACTGGTGGCAGACAGCTGTTACCAGTTTGATTGACTGGAACTGGTGGCAGACAGCTGTTACCAGTTTGATGGACTGGAACTGGTGGCAGACAGCTGTTACCAGTTTGATGGACTGGAACTGGTGGCAGACAGCTGTTACCAGTTTGTTTGACTGGAACTGGTGGCAGACAGCTGTTACCAGTTTGATTGACTGGAACTGGTGGCAGACAGCTGTTACCAGTTTGATTGACTGGAACTGGTGGCAGACAGCTGTTACCAGTTTGATGGACTGGAGCTGGTGGCAGACAGCTGTTACCAGTCTACACATGTGACTACAGAACTGTATGCTGATGCTGACAATAAGGAAAACATCCTGCCCATAAGCAACAACCAAACTGTAACTTGGGGGGGGGGGGGGGGATGCAAACATGATGATGATGAAGGTATGTTGGCTCCACAGTTAAGATTGGCTACATGTGCATCCACTGCTGTGCTGAAGATCTTGTTGAACTTACTCACTCCCCTCTGAGCCTCTTAAAATACAATAATTAACATTTTTGTCATGATGCAGAGTGTCTGCTCTGCAGTACATCTTATTTGTCTTAATTTTTAATTTCTTTATTCAAAATACCACCTTTAACAAATTTGTCTTGATAAAGTTTGTGGCAGTTTGAATTTGTCTTTCTATATTGAAAATTCAGTCATTATTGTTTTTATCATGATGCCAAGAGTGGCCATAATACATTGTTTGTCCTTATCCCTTTATTCAGGGTGTGGTCATTAACATGCTTATCATCATACATTTGGTCAGTCTATAAAATGTTAGTCTTTACTTAAAGCCAGCCATTCTTTGAACCCTTTCTAGGAAAACACAAAGGTTGCAGAGTCCGTAGGAAATGTAAGTTCACTTGGTATCAGTAGTGGAGCTAACACATGCACTGAAACATAACTCATGAAAGCATGTTGATAACAAAATATCTGATAACCTAGTGACACTGGTCTGGTAGAACTAGACTCTTTATCATTTCCTCAGAAATACTCATGTTGCACTGAAAGTTTCCTAACTGCATACATTTTTTTTTGGGGGGGAATGCGTTATGATGAGTTTATTGCTCGCTGTCTTGATAACTAGTTGCAGGATATTCTAGTATGCCTGAAGTTTGCATTTGCAGAAGCATGTCACTGGTCGGTAATTGTGAATCAGTTGGAAGACTTTTAACTCAAGATTTTGCAGTAGTTGCCCATAAGTGTGTGTGTGTGTGTGTGTATATATATATATATATATATATATATATATATATATATATATATATATATATATATATATATTGGATTTGGCATTGTCTCAGGTCTACTCTCTTTTTTTTTGTGGTGGGGTGGGGGGTGGGGGGGGGGGGATTTTTCATATTTACTGCTGTTGTATCATGATTCTCCCCATGTGGATTCCAGGCCCCATTTTAAACCCATTTTGGGGTTTAAAAAAAAAAAAACAATCCCACTGCCCTCACCTCAGCAAGTATCTCGTAAAAGGCAAATTATTAGGGGTGTTTCCTTCAGACTCGGAATGGATCTACCAGAGAGGTGAGGAACCAGTAGTCTGCAATATAAATAAGCCAGATCTGTAAAATGGACTTTCATACAAAACTCAAGTTCTGTAAGAAGACCAAAGTCAAGAAGTGGGTGAACATCCAGAACTTTCTGCCAGGAGTTTATCACTGGGAACACTGAAAAGAAGAAGTGTTATGATTCCTTAGGAAATCATCACTAATAATTGTTGCCTGCACATAGTATTTGTCAAATTTTTATGTTTAGCTGCATTTATTTAATGTTTCCACCTGCATACTATCATCTTTGCAATCTAGGGAGGAAAATGGAGGAGAATTATTTTGTCCAGTGAAAGTTACCTTTTTTTTATATATACAAACTACTCATTGTATGAGTAGCTGCCTCATTGTGTGAGTAACTGCCTCATTGTATGAGTAACTGCCTCATTGTGTGAGTAGCTGCCTCATTGTATGAGTAGCTGCCTCATTCTGTGAGTAGCTGCCTCATTCTGTGAGTAGCTGCCTCATTGTGTGAGTAGCTGCCTCATTGTGTGAGTAACTGCCTCATTGTATGAGTAACTGCCTCATTGTATGAGTAGCTGCCTCATTGTGTGAGTAGCTGCCTCATTGTGTGAGTAACTGCCTCATTGTATGAGTAACTGCCTCATTGTATGAGTAACTGCCTCATTGTATGAGTAGCTGCCTCATTGTATAAGTAGCTGCCTCATTGTATGAGTAGCTGCCTCATTCTGTGAGTAGCTGCCTCATTGTGTGAGTAGCTGCCTCATTGTGTGAGTAACTGCCTCATTGTATGAGTAGCTGCCTCATTGTGTGAGTAGCTGCCTCATTGTATGAGTAGCTGCCTCATTGTGTGAGTAACTGCCTCATTGTGTGAGTAGCTGCCTCATTGTATGAGTAGCTGCCTCATTGTGTGAGTAGCTGCCTCATTGTGTGAGTAGCTGCCTCATTGTGTGAGTAACTGCCTCATTGTATGAGTAACTGCCTCATTGTGTGAGTAGCTGCCTCATTGTGTGAGTAGCTGCCTCATTGTGTGAGTAACTGCCTCATTGTATGAGTAGCTGCTTCATTGTATGAGTAGCTGCCTCATTGTGTGAGTAGCTGCCTCATTCTGTGAGTAGCTGCCTCATTAAGTAGCTGCCTCATTGTGTGAGTAGCTGCCTCATTCTGTGAGTAGCTGCCTCATTGTGTGAGTAACTGCCTCATTGTATGAGTAGCTGCCTCATTGTATGAGTAGCTGCCTCATTCTGTGAGTAGCTGCCTCATTCTGTGAGTAGCTGCTTCATTGTGTGAGTAGCTGCCTCATTGTGAGTAGCTGCCTCATTGTGTGAGTAGCTGCCTCATTCTGTGAGTAGCTGCCTCATTGTATGAGTAGCTGCTTCATTGTGTGAGTAGCTGCCTCATTGTGTGAGTAGCTGCCTCATTGTGTGAGTAGCTGCCTCATTGTGTGAGTAGCTGCCTCATTATGTAAGTAGGTCCCTCATTGTCTGAGTAGCTGCCTCATTCTGGGAGTAGCTGCCTTGTTCATTGGATAATCAGAACCATCATTCTGTTAAAAACGGTCTCATTCTAAGAGTACTGTTTTATCCTAATAGTAGCTGCATCATCTGATTTTCAAGGTAGCAGTTGAGTGACTTGTAATTGATCTTTGACTTTGTGCATGTTTTAAATATAACCAGATTAGACAGACGTGACCAGTGTGAAGAGGTAACTTAACACCAGATGTAACAAGGAAGTTCAAGAAAAAAAAAAGGGGGGGGGGAGATGTGCATAAATACACCAGAATGTCTCGACCTAAATAGTTATCTGTGTATTAAAATAAAAAACAGCATAATTAATTATGAGAAGGTTCACATAAAACTGTTTTTGTAATAGCTCTTTCCGTTCCTAATTTTCCATACATAGTTTCACATTTTCATTTCTGAGACTTTCCTGGTAGTTTATGATACAGTGGCTTTGTAAACACAGTGCTAAGCATAGTGCGAACATTTTAACTTTAAATTCTGCACAGTGTAAGCATTTTAAATTCAAACAATAAAACATCAACATCCTAGTACAGATTACAATGAATCCTGAATGCTTTAAATATTTATTATGTGAATGCCAAAGAAACAGCATGTGGAATGATATTGCATTGATTTGCATGAATCATGTTGATTGAATACATGAGAACTTGTTCAGGATTGGACTTGGAAGAGCGGCATGCTTTACAAAAGCATCTAAGCCAGTATCAGCATGTGCATGGTAAAGTTCACAATACAAGGCATTTTTTTAAAGTGTGATTTTTACATAGCAGATAACTTTTACTGATAGGGGTGCGGTTCAGGAACCTGCACATGTAATGTTAAAATGGTATAGTTGTGTTTCTCGTTAGTGCTCTGAAACTGGTCTTTAATTATGATTATTCAAAATTATAATTGTATGTAACATGCCTATAAATGTATATTAATGTTCTCTTAGTGAAATTTCATTGAGATACTTCGCTTGTTTCTTCTATGAAAACATAACAGTTTTATTTACTGGAAATGCCAGAGTTGATTAAAAAATAGGGTATTAACTGTAAACACGTTATATAATTATAATTTAAGAATTGTTACCAGTAAGGGAACTTAGTTTTGCATTACTTTTCGTGGCCTAGCAATTGTTATATTTTTATGGCAGTGATCTCAGAAGAATCTGCTGAATGATGCGTAAAAGTTATTTTAATTACACTTTTCCACGGGATTGTTCAAAACCTGTGGATTTTTAAAATATTTTTTAAATTACAGTTATATCTGAAATGTTGGGTTTGTTATGTTTTGCAGACTTTCATTTGTTTTTTTGCTAACATAAATGTTTCTTGCAATGAGGTATATTGATTGAGATGATTTGAAATAAAATTGAATCTCTTGACTTATGTTCACATTGATGTCTGAAGGGTAAGGGAATAAAAATGAAATGCCAAATGAAACAGTGGACTTGGAAGTCCACTTTAGTCTAAGGCTTAACATGCATACGAAGCAAAGTACTCATTTTTGTGTAGGTAATGTAAATCCCTGGTCTGCAGGCTACCTTCTGCTGGCTTCTAAAGGTCTGGCTTATGTTGAATGTAAAAGTAAAGGTCTGGCTTATGTTGAATGTAAAAGTAAAGGTCTGGCTTATGATGAATGTAAAAGTAAAGGTCTGGCTTATGATGAATGTAAAAGTAAAGGTCTGGCTTATGTTGAATGTAAAAAGTAAAGGTCTGGCTTATGGTAAAGGTCTGGCTTATGATGAATGTAAAAGTAAAGGTCTGGCTTATGTTGAATGTAAAAGTAAAGGTCTGGCTTATGATGAATGTAAAAGTAAAGGTCTGGCTTATGATGAATGTAAAAGTAAAGGTCTGGCTTATGATGAATGTAAAAGTAAAGGTCTGGCTTATGATGAATGTAAAAGTAAAGGTCTGGCTTATGATGAATGTAAAAGTAAAGGTCTGGCTTATGTTGAATGTAAAAGTAAAGGTCTGGCTTATGTTGAATGTAAAAGTAAAGGTCTGGCTTATGATGAATGTAAAAGAAAAGGTCTGGCTTATGATGAATGTAAAAGTAAAGGACCCTTTTCCATGCCTTCAGGCATATTGGGCATACAGGACTCGACCTATATTTTATAGACTAATCGACACTCAGTAGGTCAGCATAAAGCAAACCACCTTTATTTCCCAGGACTATACCTGGTACCCACTCAAGGCTAGGTTGACCGGGGAGCCAGGGTAATTTCTGACAAAAGTCTGGCTTCATCAGTACCCAAACTCATAGCCTTCAGATTCACATGCGAGCGTCTAGCGGCTACAACACGACAGCTCCCCTGTGATGAATGAGAGGTTCAATTCACGGAAGTGAGGTTAAGCACTCATAAGTAGGGCATGATGATTCCTTGGGTGAGCACATTATCCGAGTATTATGTATTGGCTCTGCATTTATGCAAGCCTTCTGTGAGGAATGCTCATGTTCAGCCTTGCCTCCTCTAGAGGGCTGATCTACTCTAGACTGGCGCATGCTCGTTTTGTGTGTGCATTGCACATGTGTGTAGGGTGGGGGCACCACCTCTGAACTAGGAGACAAAGATGGCCACACATCAGTGAGACTGCAGTGTCCCACGAATCTAACCAAGGAGGTTAACCTGGCAACAAATGCCTACAGAACGCAGATTATCGGTGGAAAGGCACAGATATCGCAGCCAGTTGGTAAACAGAAACAACACATTTAGATGATGAACACTGAAGAAGAGAAAGAAGAATGTCTTGAGCAATATAAAAAGCAAGACTTGAATTACAATGTGATGTCTTGACTAATAAATAAAACAAGCAAATTTGGAATACAAATATATGTCTTGTTCAAGATATGAACCAGACATTGAAATAAACCAGGGTGTCTTGGCCAGTTTTTTTAAACAGATGTTGAAATAAGATTGGATGATGTCATCAATGTGTAAGACACACACAAAAACATGGCAGTCTTGAACTGAAGCAACCATTTGATGTATACTGACATTCATTGTAGTTTTCATGTGTGTCCATCTGATTTTGTTTCATGTGGCATTTAATGATTTACTTATATCTTTATTGGATCTACTAGAGTTTTCTTGCTGTCAGCTGGTCTTACAAAGAATAAGTAAAGTAAAGGACCCTTTTCCACACCTTTAGGTGTATAGGGCATTTAGGGCTAGACCTATATTTTTATAGACCAATCGGCACAAGATGGGTGATGTGGCCAGCATCGTGCCGGCTGCCTTTACTTCCCGGGACTGCAGCTGGCACCCACTCAAGGCTGGGTCGACCTGGGGGCCAAAGCCATTTTTGAATAAAGTTCGGCTCTTCCAGGGAGCAAACCCACGACCTTCCGATCTGAGGTGAGCATCTAGCCGCTCCGCCATGGTGACTCCCCATACAAACAATAATTAATCATTATTGTTGTTAAAAAAAAAAAAACACACACAAACTTTCTGATTTGCATTTACAAAAGTGATTTAATCCTCATTATTAGCTGTGTTATACTGTTTAGAAAAGAGAGTAGTTTGGTATTATATAAAAAAAAAAAAAAAACAAAAAAAAGATTTGCTTAGCACAGATGTGTACAGTTATTTGTGTAAACAAAATCTTGCTGATGGTAGTGTTAATTACACTGAATTCATGTGATGATTGTTGGGTGCTTTCTTATTGTACAGCACCAATTATTATATTAATGTGCTTTATCTAACTTTGATTGATCACAGCCAGAGATAATGAGATTCCTAGAGACCACATCCGACTTGTGGAGATACTCGGAGAGGGCCAGTTTGGCGATGTCTACAAGGGCATGTATTTTGACAAGGTAAAAACATTTTGATTTCTGTTGTCTGTAGCTTGTAGCTTTTCGAAAAAGTAATAAGTCACTGTCATGTTACGTTGTTATCATAAAAGATCAAGACACTCAAACCTCGGAGGAAAAACAAGATGGGCATAAATCAAGCTACAGAAATTCTAGGCTGGTTGCTGAAGGTGGAGTGTGGGGGGGGGGGGGGGGGGGGGGTGAATTTTTGTGTGTGACATGAGTGCATTGAAGCTGGTTATTAATTCAACATTTCCCCCCTCCTTCCAAAAGTTAGTTGCCTATTCTTTACAGGATGTCGCAGAACCAGCCCCAGCATTTTTTGGCTGTTGTGCTTTTCAAGGCAAATTTTAAGTTCAGTAATTTGACATTGCTTTCTGATTCATCACTGCTAAAAACAGTAACAGTTTCCATGTGTAAGTTCTGGGCTGCCTTTTGGAGAACAAAGAATGGATCCACTGCCCCCCCCCCCCCCCCCCCCCCACCCCAAGAATGCCCTAGGGGTGACTGATTAGGGGTGTTTTCTTCAAGTTAGAAGTGCATCTGCCTGACAGGCAAGAAACCAGCAGTCCCTATACAAATCAGCCAGATACTGCAAAATGGATGTACACGCAAAACTCAAGTTCCGGATCAAGACTGAAGTCCAGGAGTGGATGAACAACCAGAACTTTCTGCCAGAGTTTGCAGCTGATGAATGCAAAGAAGAAGAAATAACAATCAAGGTGACTCTACTTTGTGCATCCTCGTGCAGGCTGCACTCTCTAATGCAGCAGCCATACCAGTGGGACTCTAATGACTGTACCTATGAGAACATTGATGTAATGTCTCCTAACTGGACCTCAAAGATGACATAGAGATATACCACCATCAACATCTTAGTGATTGTCATATTTAGTGGTGCTGATGGGGTTGTTCTCAGCACTATTAGATATTTACTTTCACATATGGCCATGGCTGATGTGGAGACCTTTCTCTCTGATCACCTGGTACAAAAGTATCATCACTGGAACATTTGTAGAGTTCTTCATACCCCCCTGCAAGCTTAGAAACAAGTGAGGTGTGCAAAGACTGGTACTAAAACTTCAGATCAGAGGTAGGCAGATTAGATTGTACAGGACGCTTTTCCATGCTTGTAGGTGTATTAGGCATATAGTGCTTGACCTGTATTTTGTAGACCAGTCTGCACCTTATAGGTGATATCATCAGCATCACTCCATCTGCCTTTACTTAACAGGGTATTTCAAGGTATCAGGTTAGCGCATTCAGACCTAGATAAAAAAAATTGTATCCTTAACATGTTAAAAGTTGTTTTATTGTCGGCAGACTTAAACCCAATTTCTAGACATTATCTAGGTATATATGTTATTTAGTTACAATAAATAATATGGAGGTGCAAATATGATTGAAATATTGAGACATCTTTATAATTAGGGAGCATAACAATGACAGAATGATGACCAGTAATTTGTGGAGTTTGAAATAATATCGTCCTTTAAAAAAAAAAAAATTAAGCTTAACAGTGGCAGAAAGTTGGGGCAATAATTTTTGAAATAATATCTCCTCATTTCTTTGGCAGGAGGGAATGCAAGTCCCTGTGGCTATCAAGACATGCAAGGAGGATGGAGAGGAGGCAATGACAGACAAGTTTTTGGAAGAGGCCTGTAAGTTATTCTTCCCTTGTGGTTAGTTAAGTGTGGCAGTCATGTCTTTATGATAAATTACCATGGAGAATTGAGTGCAGACTGACAGAGATGATGAAGAAGAACAAGTCCTAGCAGTATTGAACAGATAGCCTTGTCATTGCCACAACATTCTCTTCATCTTCTTAGCAGTAGAAAGTTTTGGTTGTTTGCAGACTTCTGGATTTTGGTCCTGTTCCAGAACTTGAGTTTTGCATGCACATCCACTCCACAGATCTGGCTTATTTGTATGCAGACTGTTGCTTCCTCACCTCTTAAGCTGGTGCACTCTGACTTTGAATTGACACCCCTAATTGTTAATCTTTTACGACGTGCTTGTTGAAAATTCTGGGCATATACAGGGACCACATTACAAATGAAGAGGTTTGCCATAAAATTATACAGCACATTGGCAACTATGGACCTCTTTTAACTACAGGGAAAAGGCGAAAAATGCAATGGTGTGGACATGTAATAAGATCTAATGGCGTCTTAAAAACAATACTGAAGAGCTCAGTAGAGGGAAAGAAGAGAAGAGGCAGACCAAGAAAGACCTGGTTACAGAACCTGACTGACTGGACAGGCCTGAGGCATGCAACCATGAAATCCATCGCAACTGACCGCCAAAGGTGGCGAAAGCTGATCAGACAGTCAACGAGAATCTGGTGACCCAACGACACGTAGAGTTACGGGATGATGATGTTGGGGGCAGGAAATCTGTTGTCTCCCCCCCCCCCCCCCCCACCACCAAAAAAAAATTTAGGATCCGGAACCCACATTTGGAAACACTATTCAAAACAACTAATCTTAGCTAGTAAGATCCCCATGTGGGTTCCGGGGCCCCATTATGAGGAAAACAAGAATAGACCCACTGCCTCCCCAACAAGCATGTCACAGAAGTCAACTAATTGGGGATTTCTTTCAAAGTCGGAGTGCACCTGCCAGAGCGGCAAGGAACAACCAACTGCACACAAATAAGCCAGTTTAACGGATGTACATGCAAAGCTCAGGTCCTGGCACAAAACAGAAGTTCATATTGACGAACAACCAGGACTTTCCACCAGAACTTACATCCAGTGAATAAAGAAGAAGAAAAGCCCACATGAAGTGTGACTGCAGCAATCCTTAACGTTCGTCAGCATCATAGCTAACAGATCCCTGTAAGAAAAAGCTTTTGAAGATCACACAAATATGACAGGCTAAATCGCATTAAGTTATCTGGGGATCTTAGGTTTGAATCGACGCCAGGGAAGAAACAAACTTTAAAAAACAAAACGAATCTGGGCTGTCATGTCATCCCAGCTTAAAAGTAAGTACCAGGAAATATTCTGTGAAGTAAAATCTGCCAGTGTCATATGTCACATTACACATAAAATGTCTTCTTCTTCTTTAATCATCCTCCTCCTCTCTTTCTCTTCCTCCACCTCCTTCTGCTGCTGCTCCTCCCCCTCCTCCTGCCTCTTCATCCTTCTCTTCTTGACTTCCTCTTTTACTGCTTCATAAGACTGCTTCTTGTTCTTTCAGCCGCCCGCCTTGACCATCGTCACATCATGCTGTTGTAGAGTTTCTCTGTTGTTATCTATCCATCATATTCTTGGTGTTCTATGTGCTCTATGTCCTTCTCCTCTTTTGATGCATGCCTGTATGGTGTAGTGTCACAAGGCATTATCTCTAGGTGGGCAGTAAGTAACCTAAAGTGGGCACCAGAAAGTAACCAAAAGTGAGTACCAGAAAGTAATCTAAAGTGGGTACCAAAAAGTAACCTAAAATGGGCACCAGAAAGTAACCAAAAGTGGGTCTAGAAAATAACCAAAAGCGGGTACCAGAAAATAGCTTCAAGTGGGTACCAGAAGTTAACCAAAAGTGGGTACTATCTGATAACATACTGGCACTAGTCTGAGTGATGCAACCTAGTGATGCAACCTACACAATGCAAAGGACACTAGTTTCTATTTTCTGAAGCATGGTTTGTGAGTCTGTTACAATTACAACATATCAGGCTATGCTGCTCAAGCCATCGGAAAGTAGCTGTTACCGCCTCTACCTCCATTCTTATACTGGATGTTGCGATGAGAGTCTTTCAGTGTCCATTCCCCTTTGTAATAAAACCCCACTCATTCAAACCTCTCGCTACAGCATCCATCAAAGTATATGATAACTGAAATCCATAGTATGGAAATGTAATCAGCTTAAATAAAAAAAAATTGTATCTGCATAGAGTACAAACTGTTTTTACGTATGTGTACCAGTTGTGTTGCTGTAATAGTGTTTGTTAACTCCACAGATATCATGCAACAGTTTGACCATCCTCATATCATAAAACTGATTGGTGTCTGTTCAGACACAAGACCCGTGTGGATTGTCATGGAGCTGGCCAAACATGGCGAGGTACTGTATTTTAATTGTATCACATGTGTGCATGTTTCTTTTTTTTTTTTTATTACCCTTGCACAAGTCAGTTTCATCCAGTCCTTAATATCCACTCGATACTGAAGAATTATCAGCTGCGTTGGGCTAATCACCTAGCCCACATGCCAGACGTTGCCTCCCAAAGAGAGTATTTTATGGCGAGCTCCAGCAAGGGAAGAGGTTCCAGGGAAGATATAAATATTTACATTGACAAAAACAACCTAACGGGAACTGAAATCTTGTTAAGGAACAAATGAATGTGCAAGTAAGACACCCAGATGGCAGTGGGAGATACCACCCAAACCACCTCAAAGGCTAACTGAGAAGACAAGACACAGTGCAGATCTGATACAGAGAACTCACCCGGGGACCCAAGAAATGGTTCTTCTTCTTCTTATCAGAAATTCCTTTGATCCAGGTAAGAGTTCAAACAAGAAAACAATATTGGGGATAGACAAGTTGTTTTTCATAACAGAAATTCACCACATCCAAGATCACCTTAAGTGGTCTCCACTGTACAGTGCAGGTTGACATACAAACAATTTAGTTTTGTTATAGTGTAGTTAAAAACTTATCTGTTATTTGGTAATTTTTACATTATTGTTTGTTCTCCTGTTCAGATGAGAGCCTACCTACAGAACAATGAGCCCAGATTGGATCTGGTTATGTTGATACTTTATGCCTACCAGCTGAGCACTGCTCTCTCATACTTGGAGAGCAAGAAGTTTGTACATAGGTAATCTGATTTGGGTAGTTTTGACTACATTCTGTCTTTGTAAGTACATGGCCCTTTTTACTCCAGTGGTGCATTGAGCATGTGATGCTGTGCTGATATTTTATAGATAATTTGGTACTGGGTGAGTAATGTTGTCAGCATCATGAGGAACATTTTTATTTCCCTGGACATTACTTTTCTTTCCTGGTCGAGGAGTGTAAAGTTAAAATTATGTTTAGATAGTAGTTTTACATTTAATTGATTAGGCTATAATGCAGGGTTCGATCCCAGCTACGGGCCATGCGTCTTGCGTTGGTTTCGGCAGTGGTATCAAGAAAGCCGACCAACCAGAAAGCAATGGCAAACTACTGGACGTAAAGTTGCCTAGAAAAACCACACAACAGCCAGGTGGTGTTGAGTTTTTTTTTTTTACAACGTCCTGTAAAGGATACACAACTAACCTAATAATGCCAGGATAGTTTTGTTTACTTACAAAACTACACAACAGCCAGGTGGTGTTGGGTGTTTTTTTTTTTTACAACGTCCTGTAAAGGAAACACAACTAACCTAATAATGCCAGGATAGTTTTGTTTACTTACAAAACCACACAACAGCCAGGTGGTGTTGGGTGTTTTTTTTACAACGTCCTGTAAAGGATACACAACTAACCTAATAATGCCAGGATAGTTTTGTTTACTTACAAAACCACACAACAGCCAGGTGGTGGGGTGTTTTTTTTACAACGTCCTGTAAAGGATACACAACTAGTTTTGTTTATTTACATGCACTTGCTATCTGACCTTTCACAGAGACATTGCAGCCAGAAATGTCCTGGTCTCATCTCATGATTGTGTTAAACTCGGAGACTTTGGCTTGTCCAGATGGGTCGAGGAGCAGAGCTACTACAAAGGTAATGATAATTTTAACTCTGTTTATACCAGACAGGTCATCATGTGATTAAACCCTCTTTCTTTGTAGCCAGTGATTATGTTAATTTCTGTTCTGGTTAGTACTTTAACCCTACTCTACCCTTTACAATAAAGGAATAGTTTTAACTCATGGTGGCCCAGCTGGTTATTTTAGAAATATTACAGAGAGCACTATTAATGTGTGTTGAATTGTCATGATCGTCATTATCATAATCATCATCCTTTGTGTGCCCTTAGATGTCACATAGGGCTCGCGTTCGATTCTCCACTCCGCGTTATTGCATGCAACTTTCTTGCTTTGTGACATGGAGTTGAGCCCATCGTTTTTTGTCTCTTGTAATAATTATCTTCCTGAGGTTTTCCCTGGACGTCCTCTTTTCTCTGACCATTTGTGTACTATTTCAGTGCCTGTTTTGTAATTCTTTTGCTTAGTTAGTTAGTTGGGCTATCATCATTGCACTCTGGACATGTCCATAGGTGCTCAGATCCTCCCCTCAGTATGAACCCCAACGTCCGATGGCTAATAGTACCAGTTCTATGTTGATTAACAAATCTTCTGGCGTGTCTGGTGTGCGTCTTGTTTTTTGCTTTCTTTGCTTATTTCGCCTGAGTGTGCCTAGTAAATCTCCGCCTTCTTTCTCTTACTGCAGGCAGTAACGGGTATTTGTCCAGACATTTTATTATTAATAGTGTGCAGTTAAAACTACTGTTAAAAGCTGCAAACTATGGAGAATGCATAGTGAGAAGCAACAGTAAAATTCATAATCTGTTTGAATAATCAGTAATTACTGACTTAATGAAGGCTGATCGACTGCAGTGGTTGGGACATGTAGAGAGAATGGCAGATACTGAAGAGAAAAAAACTGCACACAAAAGAGTCTAAAAGAAGTAGATCATGAGGCAGACCAAGAAGAGGGCAGAGAGATAATTTACAGGCAGATCTACAAACACTTAGGAGTTACCAGCTGGAGGGAGAAGGCCAGTCACTGATGAATGTGGATGTGTGATATCTGCAGAAATGAACCTCGAAGGCTTGGTATGCTGAAGAAGAAGATTACTAACAATTTAATAAATTAGTTATCACAGTGAAAGAGATTTGATTTGATTTGATTCAAGAAACGACATCACAGAACTAAGGGCGTTCTCATAAGTGCTCTGTCGCCATCTTTAGCAGCCAGCAAATTCTGATACTAATGGTTCCAGTAGCATTCTGATTAAATGTCCGTCTTGCTGAAAGAGATTTGAAGAAGTCATAGCAAAACATAGCCCCCTTGGCAATACAGTTATGTTCTGTTTCAAGCTTTCTAGAGCATTTATTTTTTCACATCTTGCATATATTTGGCAATAAAATCACATTTTGTTTCTTATTTCATTCCTAGCATCCAAGGGCAAGCTACCCATTAAATGGATGGCACCCGAGTCTATTAACTTTCGTCGGTTCACCACAGCAAGTGATGTATGGATGTTTGGTAAGCTTGGTTTATAACTTGTTAGCTGGAAATATATTCACAGTCGCTGTCAGTTAACAGAAGATCAATATAATGTTCAACATGTCCTCTTCTCCTCCTTCTTCTGTTTCTCTTTCTCCTCCTCCTCCTCTTTTTTATTCTTTGATGTCTTCGTCTTGTTCTTCTTCCTCTTCCCCTCTTCCTCCTCTTTAACATCCTCATCTTCTTCTTCATCTTCCTCTTCATCCTCCTTTTCTTACTCTTCCTCCTCATCCTTCTTCTTCCTCCTCCTCCTTCCTCTTAGTCCTTCTTCTCTTCTTCCTCCTCCTCCTCTTCCTCCTCCTCCTCTTCTTCCTCCTCCTCCTCCTCCTCCTTCTTCATCGTCAATATCATAAGTCATCAGTCATCATCATCATCATCCTGTGTTCAAATAATGGTTGGCATGTTGTGGTTTACAGCTAGGCTGCAATATCTGCACCTTTTAGTCCAGCACATTTGATTTCTGCAAACCTCTGTTTAGTCAATTTGTACGACATACTTGTTGAACGACACAAGTCTTGTGACTTACAGTGATACGAAAGTCGCACCGTGAATAACATTGGAACCTCACCACAGAATATTCCTATAGTTAGCAATGGATTCGTTGCAGCCAACCTCCTTTATGGGGACAGCACCACATTTTAAAAATTATTTCAAACCCTTTTGTTTTTTTCACATCTCATTTACAGGGTTATTTAAAATAATGATACGCTGTCATTCATTTATATTTCCTTGTATATACATTACATATTAATAATATATATACAAGACAGAGGAGAAAGTCTGAAAGCTTCAAATACTACCGCTAGAGAGCAGTTGCCTTAGCAGCGGCTTGAGTCTGTATGCCTGTGCCACCAAGGGCCTTTCAGTTCACTGCTGAGTAAGATGGCCACTGCAGCACAAGAATTTCTGCATCTGTATGAAACATCTATAACCTCTATTTAAGTTTGTAAACTTGATACCTTCTTCTCTGTCTTTTATGTATATTATTAATATGTAATGTATATTCATGAAAATCTACATGAATGAAAGTGTATCCATCATTTTGAATAACCCGGCATATTTCACAATACAATGTTTCTGTTTCCCATTTCTGAAACTTGTGTCGTATTTCAGGTGTGTGTATCTGGGAGATCCTCATGTATGGGGTAAAACCATTTCAAGGTGTGAAGAACAATGATGTCATTGGAAAGATTGAAGCCGGTGAGCGTCTGCCACTCCCTCCAGGATGTCCTCCATCTCTGTACAACCTCATGTGTTCCTGTTGGCAGTACGAGCCCTCAAAGCGGCTAACATTTGCTGAACTGAAAACCTGGCTATAGTAAGTGCCCGTGCCTTTGTTTAGCGGTCCCCATGTGGGTTTGTGGGACAAACAAGAATAGACCCACTTCCTTCTTCCAGGCATGTCTTAAATGTCGACTAATTGGCGGATTCCTTCAGAGTTGGAGTGCATGTGCCTGAGAAGCAATACAGTCTGCATACAAATAAGCTTAATCTGTAAAATGGATGTGCATGCAAAACTCAAGTTTTGGAACCAGCCCAAAGTCCAAAAGCGGACACACAAAAAAAAAAAAAAAAAAAAAAAAAAAAAAAAAAAAAAAAAAAAAAAAAACCAGAATCTTCTGCTTGATGGTATGTGCCAGTTGTCAAGGCGCTAGATGACGATGGTAGCAGAGATACGTACAAAAAGGTCAACACTGCTTGACGCATGAGACAGAGGTTTAGCGGGAGACAGCGGTCTGCACGGAATAGTAATATCTGTGCATGACTAGCGCTGAGTTGAAGTTTACCCAGGAATAAGAAGTTAGTGCCTCTCCGTTGACAAGATAGAATGGACGCATATGGGCGTACCTAAATTTGGCTTGTGGTCATGTGTATTGTTTCATTTCCTTGGAGAGCTGAACTGTTTAGTGGGTGTTCACATGTTTATCACCAAATCTTCGTTCTAGTATGCTCGCCAACTTATAAAATTGACTGAAGCACTATTATAGGTGCCTACTGATATGTTGCTGTGATACTGTTGATAGAGTGTTAGAGATACAATGTGGACTAGGTGTACAGGTGTTATATAATTACTCTCTGGTAGGAAACTCAAATAGTCATCGTTAGTAGATACAGTAACCCTTCACAATAATATTTTATAATAAAACCGTCAACACCTGGGTTTCAAAAGCATGTGTGCAAAGTTATGTGTAGGTTTTGCATACCTGTCTTTTGAAATTTTCTCCAACGAACTGTGAATTGCATCATTGATTTAAGAACATATCTCCCCCGTGTGGGATCCGGGGCCCCATTGTAAGGGAAAACAAGAATAGACCCACTGCCTCCCCAAAAGCATGTCGTAAGAGTCGACTAATTGGGGAGCTTCCTTTGAAGTCGGAGTGCATCTGCCGGAGAGGCAAGGAACCAACAGTCTGTATTCAAGAGAATGAAATCTGTAAAACTGATGCACACGCAACACTCAGGTTCTGGAGCAGGACTGCAGTTCAGTAGTGGACGAGCAACCAGAACTTTCCGCCAGAATGTACAGCTGGTGAACGCCAAGAAGAAGAAGAAGAAGAACATATCTCAGCTGTAGAAACTTAATGCACTGCTGCGCTGACATGAGTTATTGTTTTCTCTAGTGAAATATTGGATGAAGAACGCCATAGACAAGAAGAAGAGATGCACAGAGACAACAGAAGAGTTCAGGCCATATCCTGGGGTAAGTCTGATGACTTCTGTGTAATCTTTGTTGATAATTGCCTGATATCGCAACATTTCATATATTTTTTAGGTTTTTGGTTTGTGTTTTTGGATTTTCCGCAATACCGGACAGTACATGTTCATCATCATGTGCAGTACGGGTAAGCGTAGGCTGTCATGTTTTGCAAATCTCAGAAGATCACCAGAATCATGGATCAGGTCCATTTTTTTTGTCTTGCAGTGAACAAAGGAGTATGAATAACAAAACCAAATGTTATACATCAGTTTTTTCCTACCTGTTTTGTGTCATGCTCCACCTAAGCCTTTCTAAAAGTCTTATGCCCCCTATGTAACATATACATAATACTTACACTCTGAACGAGTCCATTTTCGGAACCCCCCCAATTAAATTTCCCTCCCCTGTGGCAGAATACATGCAGCATATTTGCTTTTGTGTTACTTTGATTATAATGTATCATTAATATTTGTATAATGATCTCTGCCAATTTGCATAACTGACTCAACTCTATATATCTATTTTATTTTTCTCTCCAGTGGGATCAAATGGATCAGATGAAGAGCCTCCCCCACCACCTAAACCAGCTCGGCCACAGTTTTCCATTTCCCCAACCGGTTCAACCCCAAATTTATCTGTCAATGCAAGCAGTTCTTACAGCTCCACTGTGTCCTCCCTTCCCCATCACTGGAACAGCACAAACAACCTGCCAGTAGGTCAGAGCACTCCGGCCCCAGGACCCTCTCCTGAGAATAAAGCTCAAGGGTCTCGAGCACCAGATCACTTCCATCCTCCACAACATCCGCATCCATATCCACCACCACATCCGCCTCAACCATCAATGACACATATTGAGTATCAGCTTCAGAATTATTTCCCATCAGCTAATTACATGCAGGTAATATAAGGCTTACATTTGAAATTCATTTGCTTTTTATATTTGTTGGTTTGTGAAGTATTACTTTAATTTTATCCTTACATAGATTTCAGGCCCTCGTTGTAGGGAAAACAAGAACAGACCTACTGCCTACCCAAAAGCATGTCATAAGAGTCGACTAATTGGGAGCTTCCTTCAAAGTCGGAGTGCATCTGCCTGAGAGGCAAGGAACCAACAGTCTGCATAAAAATGAGTCAGATCTGTTAAATGGATCTGTTTAACTCAGCACTCAAGTTCTCAAACAGGACTGCAGTCCAGAAGTGGGCAAACAACCAGAACTTTCTGCCAGAGTTTACAGCTAGTGAACGTCAAGAAGAAGAAGAAGATTCAGAATGCATCTGCCTGAGAGGCGAGGAACCAACAGTCTGAATACAAATAATTCAGATCTGTAAAATGGATGTGCATTCAATACTCAGGTTTTGGAACAAGACTAAAGTCCAGAGGTGAATAAACAACCAGAACTTTCCACTGGAGTTTACAGCCAGTGCACATGAACAAGAAGACATCCATTTCACACTTGGATAGTTCCATATGTGCCTAAGCAAGTTTCCAATAGATCATTTTGTGGTGGTTCAGTGCAAAAACTCAGGCATCAACAAAGATTCACATGTGGATGCAACAGGCTCAGAATTCAGTCACATCTGGTTTTAACAAAACCAGAATTCACATTTTGGTATAACAACCACCCATGATGTAAATCTTGTATGGGCTGGCTTTGAATTCTAAACATTTCAACCCTTGCTGTATTCATCCCTTTTGGTTTATGTGGAAAAGAATGAGCACCTACTGTCTTGTCCTCAGTTTGCTGACATTATTTCTTCATTATAATCATATTCAGGGTTGTCTCCACCAGCTAACCTATAATTAAATTTGTGGTTGAGATAGATAGATTAGAAAAATTTTTTTTTTCTTCGTCAGACAGACAGTTCAACTATTATGGTCATAAGCTATCTTTTTCTTGCTAAATAATGTAAATAGTTTCTAAGAAAATAATAAAGTAATGCTTTACTAACCATGTGGGTTAATTGGTTTTAAGTAACTGTATTTCTTGTTATAGTATGTATGCGTAGATGTCCATCTGTCCATCCATCCATCTATCCATGCTCAAAGTGCAACACACACACAAATATTCATGCAAATAATGTTCACCTGTTGCAAGAATCCCTCATCTCCCACCTGTATATGTGCTGGTGTGATATTCTATCCTAATTGGCACACCTCCGCTTTCAGATTTTCTCACAACCAATTATGTTTGAAGTGACGTGTGTCTTTAAAAAAAAAATTTTTTTTTTTAAACCTCTCTTTGAGATAACCAGATGTGTGTAGTGTAGCTCTTAATGTTGTGCAGATGAAGTTGTGGGGAAATATTATTATTTTGTGTTTGCCTGTATACCAAACATCACCCCTATTGTGTGTATGTATTCTGGTAGTCTGGTAGTCTTAGTTTCAGCTTCATAGCAAACGGGTCACCCCATCTTTGCTCCGCTCCTGTGCCAACGAAAAACACACAGATGTTTATCACAGTAGAATTGCAGTTCATTATTGATGGTAGCAGAAGTCGCCAACAGATCAGCAGTTGTCCACACGATCAATTTTAATCACATACGGGCACCACAACACTGCACGACAGGCATCGCACCATTTTCTGTGTGTATGTATGTATGTATGAATGTATATGTCTGTCTGTCTGTCTGTCTGTCTGTCTGTCTGTCTCTCTCTCTCTCTCTCTCTCTCTGTGTGTGTGTGCGTGCGTGCGTGCGTGTGTGCGCGCGCGTATATATATATATATATATATATATATTTATTTACTTCATGGGTGAAGAAAAGTTTGATAGCTAGCTTCTGAATTTTGTTGTCACAAGCTAGTGAAAGTTTGTCATCACACAGTGAGATATTACAGTTGCTTTTTATTTATAAGAACATCTGTGATCACCTTCTAAGTATGTCATCCGTAGTGACAGGTCACGGACACTGACTACTTACCACTACATCTGTGTCCACCGCCCTGACCCGGCTTGTTTTTGCTCTCCTCCAGGTTAGCAACAGTTGTCATCAGCAGCCACCCCCAGCCCACCCCCACATCTCCCTACCCCCCAGACCCAGCCACCACCACCACCACCACCCAACCCCAACATCTCCAGCATTCCAGACAAAGAATCAGCAGCAGCAGCATCAGCCGCCCAGTCGCCAGGTCTCAGTCACAGGCCGGCCTGAGCCCCCACCCCTCACAATACCACCCCCTCCGCCTGTTGAAGCATATCCGCGCCCTTCGTCCAATAATCAAGTGTTGTCTCCACTCTCTCCCCCACTCACACCTCAGGTACACCTTTATTGTGTTACTGCATGCTTATGTGTCTGTAGAGCTTGGTACTTCCCTATACTGTCAGATTATTGTTAAAGTTTGTTCAGAGTATTTTCTATGCACCAGCATATTCCATACCTCTATTATATAATATACCTCAGTGTATTTTATATGTATAGTAGTACTGTCTATATCTCAGTATATTTTATACCTATTGTACCTTCTGTACGTCATTATATTCAGTACTATAGTTCATTTTACATGTCAGGGTATTCTATGTCTCTGGTATTTTCTATACTTAAATGTATTCTGTACCTCAGTATATATATATATACTTTTAGTACTTTCTAAACATTACTATACTCTTTACATATAATACTTTCTATTCCTTAGTATATTCTGTACCACTAATACTTTCTGTTCCTCATTATATTCTAGCTAGTACTTTCATTGCCTCAGTCAATATATTCTATACCTCTAGTATTTTCAATACGTCAGTATATTCTATACTTCTGGTACTTTCTATACCTCAGTATATTCTATACATCTGGTACTTTCTCTATTTCAGTATATTCTATACCTCTAATACTTTCTATACCTCAGTATATTCTACACCTCTGGTACTTTCTGTACTTCAGTCAGTATATTCTCTACCTCTAGTATTTTCCATATCTCATGTGCACCTTTTACCCCCTTTATTGCCTGAGTATATTCTATACCACTAGAACTTTCTATGCCTCAGTCAGTATATTCTATACCTTTAATACTTTCTACACCTCACTACCTCTGTCACTATATTCTGTACCTCTAGTGCTTTCTTTACCTCAGTATATTCTATGCCTCTAGTACATTTCATACCTCAGGTATACCTTTATTTCATTATTGCATGCTACATGTCTGTAGAGCTTGAAACTTTCATGGTATCACCATATTGTTTCAGTTTGACAAAGTACTTTATATTATCCAAGTTACTCAGTTATTCAGTCACACTTCAACATGTTTCTCTTCACCATAGTACATTTTAGGGCACAAACTGTCGTACATTTGTTTAACTGCATGTTGGTATCCGTTGTTTCTAAATTGTGCAGGGACAAACAATACGTTGCTAGGTATATTTCACTTTATCTTCTTAGGCTGATTGCCAGAGTTTGCATTAACAAATAATGAAGCACATAACATGAATCATTTCCACTGAAACACACACATCCTGTCATCTCAGTTTACTGTACATACCACCAATGTTGAAGGTTAACCACATGAGTACCATGTATGAATTTATAGTTTATGGCACAGTACCACCTGGAGTGTACTCTAAATTCATGAAGGAAACACATTATTTTGAATGTTTTGGCTATCCTCCGAATAACGGGCACAAAATATGGCGGCCAAAAACAGGGCCTCGGTCACGTGCCAATTGCGCACTTCCGGCGACCTAATTTGCGGTTTTCAGACGACCACCGCCGAGAGTATCCCCCATGCCGCGTGGATTGGGGCTAAACTAGATGGCTGGGACTCACGAGCAAAGCTGCAGGAGATGCGGAAGCTGCTGCTCGTGAGTCCCAGCCATCTAGTTTAGCCCCAAGCGGCGTGGGGATACTCTCAGCGGTGACGGTAGTCGCCGGAAAACCCCAAATCAAGTCGCCGGAATTGCGCAATTGACACATAACTGAAGCTCTGTTAGGGTGTTTTTTTTGCGGCCGCCATCTTTTGTGCCCGTTATTCGGAGGATAGCCAATGTTTTGTTTTTTCTTTTAAAATACTATACTGCTGATAAAAAAAAAAAAAAAAAAAAAAAGAATTTTTGAAAAATGTGTAGATGCCGATAGGAATATAATAATTTCGCCATTAAAAATCTTTGTAATTTAATGAGTGAAATTGTTCAAATTGCACACAAGAATTGAATACCTTAGGGTTAATCCAGTCAGTTGACTTATAACTATGCTTTTTTTTTTTAAACAGTATACTTTGTGCAGCATGTTATAAAAGATTTGTCTGTTTAATTGCATTGGGGCATATATTGTTTCTTTATAAAATACTACTCTCTGTAGCATGTTATACACTATTTATCTGTGCAATAGAATTGTAACATATTGTTTTCTTTTAAAATACTACATTATGTTACACAAATTAAATGCCATTTGTAAATACACTGAAATGTCATAAAATACAGTGTTTCCCGTTACAAGTTGTATGTGCCATAGCATGATATACGCCAACATGGACAGTTGGTAGATTAGTGAATAATTTTTTGGAGGGATCGGTGTGGTTTTATAGGCTCATGATAAGAATACCCTGGAAACATAAAAAGAGTAATGAGGATGTCTTAAAGAAACTTACTCATGAAAAGAACTGATTGCCCACATCAGATGGAGACAAGCTACATTCTTTGATCATGTCATGAGAAGGAGAAAAGTAGAGTACATCATGACAGTGTTAAAGTCAGAGGGGAGAGTAGGCAGAGGGAGACTGAGAGAGAAGATGCTGGATAGTTTGACATCATGGCCTGGAAGATCATCTGTGTCAGAGTTGATTAAAAGTACACCAGACAAAAGGTTGTGGATAGACATGACTACCAGTTCATCGTGGCACGGACTCTTGGAGGAAGAAGAAATCAAATAATGTCTATACTACTGATTGATAAACATTTGTCCCTGTAAAA